CCAATGAACTGTCAGTTATTGGAGCTGTAAAGTTTACAAGAAAAAAAACTAATTTTTGAATTTTAAATCTGATTCAATCAGGATAATAAGAACTTTTAATATTTAATTTTTAGAACCCACAAAATTTAAAAATCTATCTTTTCTTCGAGGAATATTATAGAATATATAAAAGAACATTGTTAATGATCCAATAGAGTAAGGATTAAATTTTTTATACCCAATATAATATATTTACTTTTATAACAAATGATGATGATGATTATGATATTTTTAATAATTGAAGAATGAGTGATTATAATTAATATGATTCTAAATACTGTTTAATGCAAAAGATTATCAAGTTATAAAGATTATACACTTGTGCATATCTGTATATGTATGAAAAAGTTATACAAGATTAAGTCAACAAAAGAAAAAAATGACGACATTTAAACAAATGACTATCTTGTAATTTATATTTCATTGATAGTATAAAAAATTTATACTATTATAAAAGATTTTTAGTTTTTCCGAAGATATCGTAATCTCCTTATTTCTTCCTTTCGTCTCTCTGATGTTTATTTAATACATCAATGTTATATAAATATGTAATTTTATATTTATATATACATATATATAATTACATATTTATATACATATACATATATGTGTGTATATAGCATTATATGTGTATATATACATACATATAAAATTTTAATATATATAAAAATATACACATATACCTATGTGTGTGACATGTATATACATATGTATAACGTCCCTTCTTTCTCCTCGGATTCGCAATACCATGTATTGTTGGAAATCCGCGAATTGCAAAGCGAATATTATATGTATTGTACCTAACAAAGAAGTAAACTATAAAACATTTATTATTATTCTACATTACATAAAATTAAAAAGAGGAAAGCGACATCATTGTAGAAAACGATTATTATTATTATTAATTTTTATAATATGTTAATCTATGAAATATTTGTATATGTGCGTGTCAAATTTGTATCAATGTTATTGCGAATGAATATTGCAAATAAAGTTTTTTTATTTATATTATATTATCAGTGATGGAGTATCATTGGTCATATAATATGAATAAATTGTATTAATATTTTGTATACATTTAAAGGATTTGTTACTTCTAAAAATTGAATGATTTTATATATTAAGGTTTCGAGTTTTAAAGAGCTTTTTACTTTTAGAAATCTAATGAAAAAGACTATTCTTGAGAATTTTGTTTTTTGAAAAACCCATGCTACAAATTTTCATAGGCTTTTAAAGATTTTATCGCATATATATTGAACGATCGCCAATAAAAATTTGTTACAGATATGTTCATTAATTTCAAAGTTTAGCGTTCAAGTAAGAACGTAACATTATAAAAACATAACATGCTTAATATCTCAGCTTTGAATGATTTATGAAACAGAAATTGCAAGTTTTGATAATGATTAAATAATTAAAAGAGAGAGCATGAATCGCGGATGTTTTCAAATAAAAAAATATTTTGTTGCTCTATGAAATATTAAGGTTTATACAATAAAACTATTTTTACTTTAAATTAAATTGATAGCATTTTGTTACTTTTTACCTTCTCTCGTTTTCCGAGATATCTTCCTTCAATTGGTTGTAAAATGAAAATTTTTTGTTCTTTGTGTCATTTAAATGCTAACTTTGATATTATTAAATATAAGAACATATATATATATATA